AATCACTTATAGGTTATCTGAACATAACTTTTAATTCTAAGCAACTTTTCTCTTCAACATATTTCTATATTTTTTGAAATAAGGGTACTTTACTCTTGAACGAACTTTATATTTTTTTGCCTATCCTGTATGATGTTTGTTATGAAGCCATTTCAGGTACACTTGGTATAGTTTTGGAACGTGCACCAACTTTTGTCAAGAATAAAATTTTCTGAGAAATTGATAATGAAAAAGTTTCCCATTTGTTGCACACTCAGTGAACCACACTGTATAGGGTGTTCAATGAAACAAAAATAATTTTATTTCTTCAAGACTTTTTGACTGATCCTGTATACTAAACTTTTATTTAGTGTGATAGATTTTGAAAAACCCTAAAACTTTGGTATCTCAACATTTTTCGCTAGCTATCTTACTTTAAGAGTTAATCGACCGTTTCCATGCATATCAGCGACCCTGTATATTATCTCCATTCCAGACATAGTTACTCATAAAATACAACCAATGTAAATATTGAACTATTATTTTCTCATTAACCGACTTTGTACACCTACCATCTTTCAATATGATACGCGTATTGACTGGTTTAGTAAAAAAAAGTCCTAGTCGTCTGAAGGGGTGAAAAATAGGGTGGAAATATTAGAAAAACATGGAAAATCGACTTTGTACACCTATCAAACGGAGATATGTTATTCCTGGTGACCGATTAAAATCATATCGAAAATTGACATTGACGTCTGAAGGGGTGGAAACCTGGTGGATACTTTAAAAAATCGTATCATCAAAAATTTAATGTGTACACCTACAAAATTGAGACTTGTTTTTCTTGGTGACCGACTCGACATATTCAACTTCACATGAGAGTGTTCCACGCCTTCTGAGGATGTGGAAATGGAAAGGATAGTTTTCAAAATCGTTTACATCAAAAATTGAATGCGTAAAATTTCTCCATTTTGTAGGTGTATACATTCAATTTTTCATGCTTCTGTGCTCTGCTGTAATCAGCTGGCGAAGATCTGTTTTTCGAATGTTTAATCTAATAAGGTGGTCATGTTAATTGTATAAAACCAAACCTTTTTAAAAAATTTAAAATAAGACCTATCTGGGCTGTCAATATTAATTTTGTATCGATTCAATTTCTTAAGGAATGATCGATGGAAGATGTACCGTAACTAAAGCCAAGGCACTTGGAGGCGATTCTGCAATAAACGATATGCTGTTCACCAGAGGACATCCAAGAGATTACGATATTTGGTCGGATATAGGATTGATGGGTTGGTGTTGGACTAGCGTGTTCCCGTTTTTCAAAAGATTTGAAAATGCTCTGGTTGATGATATGGATAAAAAATTACGCCACTACGGTAAGTGAAACTATTTGCATTTATCTTTTTCCAAAAATTAAACGTTCAAATAAGTGTGAAAAAAAGTGGTCGCAAGACAAGAAAAAAATTATTGAGTAACACTGTAGAAGCGATCCAAAAAACAGTGAAGTTTTGCAATTTCACAAATATATTTTCAATGTAAATGTAACTTATACGGTGTGAACGTAAATAGTTCCCCTTTTCTTAACCTTCAAAATCGGACAAAATTTGTATGAAAATGAATCATTTTCAGTACTTTTGAATGAAAAGGCCAATGCAGGAAGAGAACTATCAATTTTTTATTCGAAGAGAAAGGGGAATCTGGTGACCCTTCAGTTGGATAATCGGTTGCGGAGTTCTGTATCTGTAGACTAGGGAGGGTGAGGCCCACAGAACTTAGGCCACATGTGACCCATTGTACATCCTCCCGATGAGTTGTCCTAGGTCATCGCCCATCCTGTCCTTTCCAGGAAGGTTGACAGGTCACTAGGAGAAATCTACTTTATATCAGCAGGTGTAGGCCAAGACTCACCGAACACACACTCGCTTATTGACGATACTCGCGGACGGATACTCGCATAGGACATGCCTGACAGTCTCATCTTCCTGTTCACACATCCTGCATGGATGTTTCTCCAGTAACCCCATATTATGGAAGTGTTTCCTTAGTTGACAGTGGCCAGTCAGAAATCCTACTGTTAAGCGTAGATTTGTCCTTGTCATCGCCAGATATTTCTTCGGCGCCAGCTTCCCAGAGTCGCCCAAAGTGATCCTGGCAAGATTGGATCCTTTGATTCCATCCCATCTCTTTAGGGATTGAGCATGGGTGTAAAATTTGACTAGTTCCGTGTCTTGGTAGGAATATTGGGAAATCATATTGTTGGCCTCATATATCTAAAGGAAAATCTACCTGCTGATTTATATTTGGAAATTCTTTAAAACTTCAGTTGCCCACGGATTCAAAAAATTGTGTCAACATTAAGATGAATTTAAAAATTTAGTTGTTTACCAACAAGATGGTGCGACCTCATATTTTTAGTCCTGGAAAGTATTGCCCTGATAAGTGGATTGATAGAAACAGTCCGTTGGAGTAGCCTACTCGTTCACCAGACTTGACTCCTCTCGATTTTTTCCTTTGGAGCGACAGAATTACTGAAACTTGCGCTAGATCAATAGACTGTTCTACTATTGGCTGGAGAATATTTTCAATATTTGCTCCATTGATTTCTTCATATGTAAAATAAATAATAACGATGTAATGTCCTTGAAATGGACACTTATTTATTGGAAAAGATGTCTAATGAATATTAATTTCAAAAAAATCTGACAGATGGTGACGGAGTTACGAAATCCCTAGTACCAAATTCAAACATCAATAATTTCGAAACCGGTTATCAAAATCCAAAAAAGTAGAGGTCATTGCATATGGAATTGAAATACCGTTCACACGAAATGTCACAAGACCTTCCTTTCTATCGGCTTTTCCATAAAAAATTATTAAAAATGTTTTTTTTTCACAAACATTTCGTCCGCACTGTATATCTTGGAAATCATCCCTCAACGTAAACATTGAAAAGTCGCAACCATTGGATAATACAAAAGCATGAAGTTTTCAATTATTTTCACTGTGATTCTGAATCACCTAAGTTTCTTATCTCGTTAACAACAAAATGCGGTACCAATTAATTCCTTGAAGCGAATGCTGATGATGTTAAAGCAGTGTTTTTATTGTTCATCAAGGACTCAAAATATCCGTTTGATCATTGAAAACACACAAACGTATTATTACATTCGCATATTTGATTAGGATGAAATACCGTTGAATGAAAGAAACGGTATTAGATCCCATGAAACACTGCCAGTGAGTGGTCTGTCTTTTGATATGACTTTATTTTATGTTGAATATGGTATATTCAGTAGGGTGGGCTGAAAATATATTTTTTTAATGCTATACCGAAACAACTTGTCTCTATTATGGGTTATCAAAATACAACGCAGAAAAAAATGTATACCTAACCCCCAGCTAGCGTAACACACTTGAAATTTCGAAATTCCACTAAAATCACAGTAATTTACAATTTTTTTTAAGTATCCAAACAGCTAGATATTGAACTGCTATAGTGAAAATTTTTTGCCAAAAAAATTATCCTATCAAATTTGTCTATTTCTAGTCATGTGTGTCGAAATAACCTTTTCTCACCGAATATCCCTCGAACATTGATAAATAACTCATAATTTTATCACAACTTCCTCAAGCACGTTATTTTAGGTAACATCCCTCCGCCTTCGGCGTCGTTATTTTATCAAATAACGTGCTTTCGAAAACTGTGATAAAATTATTTCGTTAGTTATCAATGTCCTTGGGATATTATAGCTGAAAATCATTTATATTAGAGTTATAAAAACACAATGAGTTATTGAAAGTATTATTTTTGTTAAATTTTTGGTAGCGCAAAGGCCTTAAATATAGTTAATTGATCACTTTTCAAATGCTAACAGGCTGTAGTACAGTGCAGCATCTGATTTTTTAAAGCCACTACTTATGTATTTTTTTAGAAATATAATGTTGATGAAACAATTACCTGTACGAAAAATAAATAAATAGGCAATTTACATTTATCCAAATGAGTTTATTATTTACAAAATGTATCGTGAAATACGAATTGTCAATTCCCAAACTCCAACATTTTATTGTGCTTCTCACAGTAATCCTATAAATATTTGGAACTTTGAAATCTTGTTTGCTTGAAAAACTTGGCATTGAAGTTCTTGATAACAGCGTTGTTCGTATGAAACCATCTCTGTTCTTGACACCAACGAGTTTTGAGGAGGCTTCAGTTACCACTTTCACACAGCGCTTCACCGCTTGCGTGTAACACGGGAATTTATGGAAGTTCCATTCTTTTGCTGTGTTGGAAGTTGAAATCTTGGCCCACATTTCTTCATCAGATACTCTTCGCGACAATGGTGGTAGATAAATAGCAGTAGTAGTCCAATCAATAATTTCGTAATATTCCCTTGCCTGGAAGTTGAGTTTTGGGGGTTTGAAAGTTTGGATTAGTCATTAAGGTGATTGATTCAGTGATTGAAAGGAATACGTTTTTTGCGCATCCAGAAAACTTGCTCCTAAGTATGATCGTTGATGAAAGGGCCCATACCAGAGAGTTGGGGCTTAGAAGAATCATAAAAGCAAGAGCCGTAACTTCCAATGGGGAATGTTCCTCCTGACGAAAATCAAGTAGTTTTCATAAAAGAGCTCTAAAACAACGCATTTTAAACTTATCATTTCAACCTTTTTCTTTGAAAAATTATTTAAATACTTGAAAATGAGGAATGAAATAATGCATTCAACATCTAAAGTGATTTCACCATCGGTTACAGCTAATAAAGGACAATGAATCTATCATCTGTATGAGTCAAACAAAGATGACATATCTCAAAGGCGTGCAGTTCTGTTTAATTATGTTTCGAGTTCCATTCTGTGACATATGATATTTTGTGCACCTAACCTATCTTCCTCTATATAAATAAATAACAAAACAACTGTTGTCTATGTGGCTTGTGGAGGTGGTATTGAACTATAATTTATATTTTGCCTTAATTGTTGATTTATAAAGATAATTTTCCTTTTTTAAAGTAGAATATCTAGGTACGTATGAATTATTTCAATTATTCCTAGGCGCTGTTGCCAATATGTGAATTAAAAACAAATCCCTTTAAAAATTAAAACCCAACATTTGAAACATCAATTTGAATACTTTTCGAAGTGAATTTGAAAAACACATGAATTGAACTCAACTTTATTTCGTTCAAATTTACATTTGCAGTAATAACCCAAACTGAGGAACATTCCCCATTGAAAATTCTAAAAAACTAAATCTGTGCTGGTAGGTCGAGGTCTGCGAGGTCTGGAAGATATACCACTTATGTCTGCGACAGTAGCAGATGGAAAGTCCGGTACTGCAAGTTCCATTCGACTATAGCCTACCAACCCGGATTCCGTTTCTCTAATCGTGACTTCCGCCGGCCGTAAAAGTAAAAGCATATGTTTTAATATTTACAATTCTTTTGACACAGGTGGACCCGTCCAAATTGAAAACTCCCATCACGACCCTCTCTTCGCCGAACACATTTACCAAGCAGGTCACGAAATTGGTTTACACACATCCATCGACTACAATGGAAAAGAACACCTAGGTCTCGGCCTTCCGCAAGTCATCACCAAAAATGGCAAAAGGTACAGTGCTGCGCAGGCTTATCTCGATTGCACGCACGAGAGGGAAAACCTGGTGGTACTTCCGCATAGTCATGCTATCCAAATCCTAATCAGCGACCATACTAAAGAAGCCAGCGGGGTCAAATACATTCGAGAAGGGAAATTGTTCATTGTGAAAGCGGCCAAGGAGGTGATACTAGCTGCCGGAGCCATTAACACGCCACACCTGCTGATGTTATCTGGTAAGACGCTTTTGGAGTACTACTAACAATGTTAATGCATTTGTCACCACAGTTACTTATAAATAATCTTGTTTGATAATATCCACTCAACTGAATTATTTTGTTGGTGAAAACCAAGAAACTTTACCAGTTCGGAATTCCATTGTCTGATATGATTCGAAATCTATGAAAGAACAAATAAAATCAGACTGAATAGATGAAATATCACCAATATTGAGTGATAAAACGTGAAATGAAAATACAAAACACGAATAACATAATCAACATTAAAGATGAAAATTACCACAGCGGGAAAAAAGTTATTTCACCACGTTACGACTATTAGTATCCACAATCGTCTTCGAATGATGACTGAACTATTTCTCCGAGAGATGACTATTTAGAGGTCCCCCTCTTCCCTCTTTCCGCTTCACCGGTTTAGCCGTGTTCCGGTCGATTACAGGTTTCCACATTTTGCATATCTCTACGCTAGTTTGGCTGAATGCATCGTTGGACAACATATGTCCAGCTTCTTTGAACTCCCTCTTGAACCAGTGTTCCTTCCTGTGGATAATCTCAGCCTGGGAGCACTTGGTGAGTCCAAACAACCTTTCTCCTCGCTGTGTGTTTATCTTGTGCTCTTTTGCTTGCTTTTAGTTTCACTGCACTTACTGGGTATTCGTTAAATGCAATTATTGGAATCGACGTCCGCGTTTGGCTGCCTGGTTTTCGTGAGGCTGCTACAGATGGTATTTTTGGATATGAGGCATGTTCTCATGGGCAAGCACTGGTTGTTACGGCTTCTCTTCCTTGCGAGGCTTACGCTGTCTTGTAGCCAAAGTCTATTCCACCATCACTTTGAAGTAACCATTCCGTTGAAGGTCATTTTTGATGATGCCTAGTTCCTTTTCGAGACCTTCCTTTGTATTACAGAGCCCGAAAGTACGGTCTAGTAGAGTCTTGATGATTCCTCTCTTAGTCGATTGATGGTGGTTGGCTTCCTAGCACATAGTTCCACGATCAATTGAAACCCGACATTTCGAATCAAAAATGGCGGACACTACAATATGGCTATTTTTCATTTCAAAAGTAACACCTATGACATTGGTATCGAATAAAGGAGTTTGATGAAAGGAACACGATAAGCAAAATGGCATCATTCTGAATCCAATATGGAAGACTCATCCCTATTGTGAAGCTAAATAGCAGCAAATAGACGTTATAATAATGATGCAGTAGCAGAAATGGGTAGGTTAAAACGTACATACTGAAAAGCCGTAAACTAAAACGATAGAACAAAAATATTTCAATAATGAAGCGAACTAACCTACTGGAAAGGATAAAATAAATTTCGTTCAGAAAAGAGAGTAAATTTAAATAAAAATAATGACACCTGCCTGCTTACTGAATATCTTCATCATTGACACTGAACTTATATAATTATTTCTTAAACTATCATTAGACTTCAGGGCTAGCACTAGAGTGCCACCAAGATTTAGCCAAAGCCTCGGTAGATAATAACATTATCCTGAGGTGGGTTAAAGGGCACGACAGGAATAAAGGTAATCGCATTGCCGATTCTTTAGCCAAGGAAGCGGCTGGACTAAAAATTTTAGGACCCAGTGGCACCTACTATCTGATGACTTCGACAATTGCGGAACTAACCAAACGTTACATTCATGCTCAATCCCTAAAGAGATGGGATGGAATCAAAGGATGTAATCTTGCCAAGATCACCCTGGGCGAACCTGGAAAGCTGGCGCCGAAGAAACATCTGGCGATGACCAAGGAAAAATCTACGCTTAACAGTAGGATTTCTGACTGGCCACTGTCAACTAAGGAAACACCTCCATAATATGGGGCTAGTGGATTCACCTATATGTAGGATGTGTGAACAGGAAGATGAAACTGTCAGACATGTCTCCTACTCTACAGATAAGATACAGATACTATCATTAGACAAAGAACTTGAATGAAAATTTAAATATGATAATATTACCTATTCACTGAATTGAATCATTGTCGTCATGGCGGAAGTTAACTCACCTGAAACAAAAAAATCAATGATAAACTTCATTTAAAACAATCAATTCGATATCATTGATGTGGAACTAATCAGCGTTATACTCTGGAGTTAACATAGCATTTGTACACCAACTGCGTTAGATACATTTCCACAATATATTTCTTTGCTATGACAACTGTCAAAAGTACATTCTAGTTTCAACTGAAACTTCTGATGAAATATATTACCAACTCAACTCTAGAAAAGCCCATCAATGAAGATGCGAAAAACAACTAGTTTGTTTTTTATCGACCTTTTTGGGATATTTTCACCTTCCACAATCTGAAAAATGTGAAAATTATAATGGAGAACTTTATACAAGTGTAGAAAGGTCAAACATTTTAGGGTTCTGATTGATTCGGCCGTTACTTGATGAAGATCCATAGTAATTTCAAAAACTACACCTCACGATTTGATTTCCACAAACTTTATTTGAAAAATATAATCACAACATGTTTCGCTAGCACAGTAGCTTTCTCAAGTGTATGAAGTGTATGAAAAAACATTTTAGTTGACCCCGATAAGTTATTGCGTAGAATCAAAGTCTTTTTCACAAAGAAATATGTTCTATTTATCAGTAACTTGTACTATTTAACAATTTTGCCTATCAGAAAATTTCTAAGAAAGAATACAATACTTATATTAACGTTTCGAAGGCCAAAATCAGCCTCCGTCTTCAGAAATGGACAAAAAATTCAAATATACAGGGTATTTATTAAACATGCGACAATTTAAGGGGCTATTCCTTGGACTTTTCTAAGGATGTTTTGTCTCTTCTTGATTTTGGATAGGGCGCTTTGTTTGGAAGATACGGAGGGATGAAGAATTTCGATTCATTTATTACCAAAGATTACATGTAATGTTTCTTGATCTACAAGAACTGTTGAAGATGACTGCCCCCCATTCGGATGCAAGAATCCAATCTTCTCCTCATCGACTCCCTAACTCTTTCAAAAACACCAGGATCGTTTCTGATTGCGTTACGCCCAGCAATTATTCGATTTCTCAAATCTTCCAAATCTTCCACTGGAATAGTGTAAACTAATGACTTTAAGTGGCCCCATAAGAAATAATCCAGGGGGCTTGAGTTCGGTGATTAAGCAGGCCATAAGTGAGACCCATCTCGACCAATATGCGCTGGTGCACCATCTTGCATTCACCACATTGCATTTTTTGTAACCAATAGTACATCCTCCAGAAACTGAGGTAGCTTTTGTCCAAAAAAATTGCGGTATACCTCGCCGGTAAGTCTTCCTGGCAGACATAACAAGAACTGATGTTGAAAACGATGTTCAAGCACCTCTTGTGGCTTTTCTTCAGCCCAAACATGGTCATTGTGGAAATTCCTTATGGCATTTCTTGAGAAACATCGCTAAGAAGAATAGGCGTCAGTAGTTAAGGGAATTGAACCAACGTGTGCAAAAGGCATTGACAAAATGTAATACGTGGAAAAAAATCTGCAAGAAGAAGTTCCTGAACTCGTTGAATGTGGTATGGGTACAACAAATAGTCTCTAATAATGTTTCAAATCGTCCCGTTACTTACATTTAAGGTATTTGCAATTTTTCGAGTATAGGTACCTGTATCTTTTTCTATCATGGCCAGCACATTCTCTTCTGCTTCTACCGTTCTAACTCAAAATTACCAAAATTGTTATTGTCGAAATTCTTTTACGCTCCGTATCTTCGAAACGAAGCGCCCTATCAAAAATCATCGAAGGGCAAAATATCCTTAGAATAGTCCCTTAATTTTTTGCCGCATGTTTAATAAACACCATGTATATGCAGTAATTCATTTGCTGATTATTTAATTCTCAACTTCTGCGACACATTTCAAAACTTCTTTGACATCTATCGAAGAAATTGACAAATGAATAATCAACAAAGGAATAACTGCATATATATTTGAATTTTTTGTCCATTTCTGAGGACAGGGGCAGATTTTGTCCTTCGAAACGTTAAGATAAGTATTACTATAATTATTTCTTAGCAATTTTTTTGATAAGCAATATTGTTAAATACGGCAAGTTTCTGATAAATAGAACATTTTTCTTTGTGAAAAATACTTTGATTTTACGCAGTAACTTAACGATAAAAATTTTAGGACCCAGTGGCACCTACGACCTGATGACTTCGACAATTGCGGAACTAACCAAACGTTACACCCATGCTCAATCCCTAAAGAGATGGGATGGAATCAAAGGATGTAATCTTGCCAAGATCACCCTGGGCGAACCTGGAAAGCTGGCGCCGAAGAAATATCTGGCGATGACCAAGGAAAAAATCTACGCTTAACAGTAGGATTTCTGACTGGCCACTGTCAACTGAGGAAACACCTCCATAATATAGGGCTAGTGGATTCACCTCTATGCAGGATGTGTGAACAGGAAGATGAAACTGTCAGGCATGTCTTATGCGAGTGTCCGGAGTGCTGTGGGCCTATACTTACCCTCCCTACTCTTCAGATAAGATACAGATACTATCATTAGACAAAAAACTTGAATGAAAATTTAAATATGATAATATACCTATTCACTGAATTGAATCCTTATCGTCATGGCGGAAGTCAACTCACCTGAAACAAAGAAATCAATGAAAAACTTCATTCAAAACAATCAATTCGATATCGTTAATGTGAAACTAATCAGCGTTATACTCTGGAGTGAACATAGCATTTGTACACCACCTGCATTAGAAACATTTCCACAATATATTTCTTTGCTATGACAACTGTCAGAGGTACTTTTTTTGGGGTATTTTCATCTTCCAAAATCTGAAAAATATGGAAATTAAAATGGAGAACTTTATACAAGTGTACAAAGAGCAAACTTTTTGGTTTACCCCGTATTGCCTAAAATCAAAGTATTTTTCACAGAGAAATATGTTCTATTGATCAGTAACTTGTCGTATTCAACAATTTTTCCTATCACAAAAATTGCTAAGATAGAATACAATACTTATATTAACGTTTCGAAGGCCAAAATCTGACTCCGTCTTCAGAAATGAACAAAAAATTCAAATATACAAGGTATTTATTAAACATGCGACAAAAATTCAAGGGACTATTCCTTTGACTATTCTGAGGATATTTTGTCTCTTCTTGATTTTGGATAGGGCGCTTTGTTTGGAAGATACGATTTATTTATTACCAAAGATTACATGTAATGTTTCTTAATCTACAATAACTGTTGAAGATGACTGCCCTCGTTCAGATGCAAGAATCCAATCTTCTCCTCATCGACTCCCGAACTCTTTCAAAAACACCAGGATCGTTTCTGATTGCGTTACGCCCAGCAATTATTTGATTTCTCAAATCTTCCACATCTTCCACTGGAGTAGTGTAAACTAATGACTTTAGGTGGCCCCATAGGAAATAATCCAGGGGGCTCAAGTTCGGTAATCAAGCAGGCCATAAGTGAGGCCCACCTCGACCAATATGCGCTGGTGCACCATCTTGCATAAACCACATTGCATTTTTTGTAACCAATAGTACATCCTACAGAAACTGAGGGAGCGTTTGTCAAAAAAAGTTGCGATATACCTCACCGGTAAATCTTCCTGGCAGAAATAACGAGAACCGATGTTGAAAGCGATGTTCAAGCACCTCTTGTGGCTTTTCTTCAGCCCAACTAGGTTATTGTGGAAATTTCTTATGGAATTTCTTGAGAAACAGGCTTCATCGGTAAAAAGAATAGGCGTCAGTAGTTGAGGGAATTGAACCAACGTGTGCAAAAGCCATTGACAGAATGTAATACGTGAAATAAAATCTGCAATAAGAAGTGCCTGAACTCGTTGTATATGGTATGGGTACAACAAATAGTCTCTAATAATGTTCCAAATCGTCCCGTTACTTACATTTAAGTTATTTGCAATATTTCGAGTATAGGTACCTGAATCTTTTTCTATCATAGCCAGCACATTCTCTTCTGCTTCTGCCGTTCTTCTTCTGCCGTTATTGTCGAAATTCTTTTACGCCCCGTATCTTCGAAACGAAGCGCCCTATCAAAAACCATCGAAGGGCAAAAATATCCTTAGAATAGTCCCTTGATTTTTATGCCGCATGTTTAATAAACACCATGTATATGCAGTAATTCATTTGCTGATTATTTATTTCTCAACTTCTGCGACACATTTCAAAACTTCTTTGACATCTATCGAAGAAATTGAGAAATGAATAATCAGCAATGGAATAACCGCATATATATTTGAATTTTTTGTCCATTACTGAGGACGGGGGCAGATTTTGGCCTCCGAAACGTTAAGATAAGTATTACTATAATTATTTCTTAGCAATTTTTTTGATAAGCAATATTGTTAAATACGGCAAGCTACTGATAAATAGAACATTTTTCTTTGTGAAAAATACTTTGATTTTACGCAGTAACTTAACGGGGTAAACTGAAAATTTTGCCCTTTCTACACTTCCATTATAATTTTCATATTTTTCAGAATGTGGAAGGTGAAGGTACCAAAAAAAGTCAATAAAAAACTGATTTTCCTTCACAGAAAATGCCTTTCGTTCACAATTAGTCTATTTCACAAATTGAAATTCGCGTTCAACAAACAGCTCCTAAGAATATGAGCAATAGCTCATTGTTTACAGATAGGCAGTTTAGAAATGTCAAATTTGGACTAGACCTTTTCCCCAAAAACTACAGAATTCAACAAAAATCGATTTATTTTCGAATAGTTCATGATATTTCAATGATAGTTCATCACAGAACAAAGCTGTTTTGGAGTTCCATAACCGTTGTAAGTCACATTTATACAAAAATAAAAGAACCTTTCAATTCTACGGATCATTAACAACAGCTACAAATTATATTCTCAAATTATTTCAAAGATCAACTGATATTTTATAAAAAAAATACCTGAAGTTCCACCATTATATCTCTAATAGTTCAAAATTTATATCGATTTTACGTAACAAATCAAGCGACCGCTATTGAAAAGTAAGTATTATCTGTTTAAATCTGTTTTCCGTTAACCAGCTGTCGCACCCCTACGAACGACAACCCTAAGAAGTCGAAACTTGTGCGAGCTAAGGATTAACGAGGTCTTACCTTTTAACGTGTGATTCCTAACAAGGGTTGGACGATAGCAAGTGAAGATCGATCGTTCAGACTATTGAATTTGCAGTAATTACTTCTGTGAAGAATCCTGCATTACCTATCGGATATAATCTAACGCACTTCGTGGTATAAGCGAGGGGAGTTGTTTTCTGATAGGCGTCAATCCATTAACCTACTACAGTGTAAGTGAATTGAGACTGGCCTGAAAGAATTGTTCTTTTGGATATGTCCCCTAACTATATATGAAGTTTTTTCCTTATGCAAGGAATTGGGCGATTTAATCATAGACTTTATGTTAATGATAGATACCACCTTGCACTAACGAGTGGCCGTATAGCCTGAAACCGGTCTGCAAGTGTGTTCCACTAATTGAAAATCGATTCCGGCAGTTCTATCGCCAACAACATATGCAGGAATCACTTCTGAGAAAAATCCTTCACTGACACCTGTCGGATATAATCCAACGCCCTTCGAGGTATTAGCCAGTTGTGTGGGATGTTATTTGAAAGACCAGGTCTCCTTCGTGGGTCTCAATTTCATATTCGAACCCCTTCATGAAGTACATACGGCTCCATGCGATATACCCAATAAACACCATGAAGATCATCACAAAATCAACGAAATTAATAATGAAGTTCCACCCCACATTCACGAACCTATTCATGACCCCGAGCTTCCTCATGATACTGTCGCTCCTGTCCATGAACTCCCGGATATCCCAATCCAGAAATCTGTTCACGAACTCCCTCATACTTCTGCACAACAACACTCTTATTACCCACACCACGATGTTCCCCACGATTCTCAACAGGAATATTCAGAAGACTCCCATGACCTTCCACGAGATCCTCACCATGATATTCCACACGATTATCACCATGGCTATCTGAAAGATCATTACCATAATCTTTCACACGACCCCATCCACGAACATATTCCAAAATCTCTTCGCGAACACATCCACAACCCTTCTCAAGAAATTCCTCACGAACCACACCTTGGAATTCTCCATCAAGAACATCATCTTTTACATAGCGTTGAAGAACTTGTCAGTTATCTGAGACATGGCAAAGGTCCTTTGAGCACAACTGGACTGGAAATGGTATCATTTGTGAAAACAAAACATTCGAAAGGTCGGTCGTCCTATCCGGATATTCAGTTTCTGTTCAAGAAGATACGACTCAATGAAGGTGAGCTTATTATGCTAGTAATTTACAGTGCTTTTCTTCAATGTCCCCTACCCCCCTTTTATTTTATGAACTATTAATGAAATTAATGCATGAATACTTTATTTTGAAGTGAAATTGACAGATGAAACTTTCAAGATGGCGACTGAGCGTCATCTGGAGTAAAAACATTAAATGGAATCTCCTGAATCTCCTGAGAAATGCTTCACAACCCTGGAATATAATGTCAATATCTTCAACTACTACAAAATGGCTGAACTTTTGATAATTCTGTTCAAAATTTGTTTTCCCGTTAACCAGCTGTGACACCCCTACGAACGACAACCCTCAATAGTCGAAATTTGTTCGAACTAAGGATACGAGGTCTTACCTTTCAACGTGTGATTCCTAACACTGAATACATTGACATTTTACTACATAATATGAAGTAATGAGCTTGAGGTCAGTTCAGAAGATGCTTGAAATGGTTGCCTTGAACTTCTTGACATATGAACATATGACATATTCACGCCGAACATTTTCGAACACAGTAACGTCAATATCTCTACAAATATTTATTATTCTCTGCCGTATATCCAATATTGAAGCACGTTCAGGCTCGTACACCTTTTGCTTCAAATAGCCCCATGAAAAAATTCCAAAGGTGTCAAATCTGGCGAGCGGGCTGGCCATTCTGTAGGACCTCGACAGCCAATCCAACGACCGGGTAAAATAGTATACATTCTCTACAAATATTTATTATTCTCTGCCGTAAATCCAATATTGAAGCACGTTCAGTTTCGTACACCTTTTGCTTCAAATAGCCCCATAAAAAAAATTCAAAGGTGTCAAATCTCGCGAGCGGGCTGGCCATTCTGTAGGACCTCGACGGCCAATTCAACGACCGCGTAAAACAGTATCCAAATAGTTTCTTACTTGTCTGAAGTAATGCGGTGGTGCTCCATCTTGTTGGAATACAATATCCATATCGAATTAATTAGGATTCGCTTCGACGATTTCAATGATGAGAGGGTCAATAGTAGTTTCCAGCATATTCAAATACAGTTTCCCTGTTGAATTTTGACCAATAAATAGAGGTCCTACAATATGGTTTCCCAATATTTCTGCCCAAACGTTAATTTTTTCTGGATACTGGGTATGTGTTTCCCGGAAAACCTGAGGGTTGGTGTTACTCCAATAACGGTAATTTTGTCTGTGAACATTGACGTTTAAAAAAATGTTCATTTGTCACTAAAACAAATATTGTGGAGATAGGAAGGATGCCTTGCAATGATTTCCGTCATGGTTTCGGAGAATTCTGTTCTTCGATCAGGGTCATCTTCAGTTAATTGGTGTACCATTTTAATTTTGTATGGATGGATTCCTCTTCGAAATTCTCCACACAGTAGAAGAAGACACCTCACAAACATTCTCGACGGAATAAGTAGACTGTTCAGGATTTACTACCATTTCACCAATTATTTCTTCTTTCGGAATGGACGGATGACCTGGGGGTTTTTGTTATGTACACTACCGGTAGTTATGAATTGGATACAACCTCCCGCAAATATTTTCTACAGATAGGACGATTCGGAAAACGTTCACTGAAAACCCTTTCAGTCTCGCGAAAGTTACGCGTCGCACCGTAACTTTCGCTTAATTTTTTTTCCAATGTACGAGAATTGACCATTTTAGAGATTGTTGACGTGGTACCTTTCTACTAGTAAAACCGAAAACTGAATAAGAATATTCTAATTGAACAATGATGTTCATTGTCGTACTGACATTTTTAAAGTATTTGTCTTCGGGAAATTATCAAATGTTTCGCCATTTTGTAGTAGGTGAAGATATTGACTTCATATTCTAGGGTTGTGAACCCCCCTTTATATCTTTTTTTTTCCCAAATGGCGCCCAGTCGCCATCTTGAAAGTTTCATCTGTCAATTTCACTCCAAAATAAAGTATTAATACATTACTTTCATTATCCCAAATTTCAATTTTTTGAGTTGGCCCGTTCAGAAAAATAAAAGGTGGGGGGCATTGAAGAAATTTACTGTAAAACAAGATGCATTGCTGTCTCCATAAGCACAAACCGTGAATGAAAATAAAAAAGTTTTTAAATCGGTTGAAAACGTGTTTTTCCGTTAACCAGCTATTCTTTTCATTCGAACAACATGCCTCAAATATCGATACGATACGATATGATACGATTCGATATTCATAGCATGGATCAAACATCGGGCAGTGAACATAAATCGTTCCAGAGTTCCAGAGTTCGAATCCAAATGGTTTATGGATTTGAAAAAATGTTCACACTGTAGGTACATTTTTTTATTTAATCGTAAAATCATAAAAATATCAATTCGAATGTAGAAAGCAAGACTCTTTACTGTTTGTGCTCACTGGTGGTAAAATTTCTGGCATTTTGGACTGTTAAAAAAATAAAGGAATATTCTAATTTCACGGGCTACGTTTCTTCGATCAGCGTTTTCTTTTAAAGTTGGTACACTCGTCTCGAACATATATTCAGTTTCAGCTGTATAGCACGTTCAGTTTGTTGGTGAGAGGCATGAAAGTTAGATATGTTTTCCGTTGGCGATTTTTTGCTTTCGAAAAAAATGGATCAGAAAATTTGCATCAAATCTTGTGTGAAAAATCAAAGTGATGGCTCAAAAAACAACGCTTGGAATGTTGAAAGTGGCATACCGTGATTGTACTCTGAATCAGAAAAGTGTCTACAACCAATGTCTCGACCTTCATAGAAGGTGAAAAAATCGACGGGCGCTTGATATACAAAAAATATGGCACAAAGCGGCCATGCTTTTTCACAACAATACTAGTATTTATCGTTTGTTATGGTTTTGAGCTTATTTAAAAAAAAATATTTTCAACTTTTTAGTTCGATATTCTTTAAAAGCGTATTTTTTTAGTTAGAGTTACAAGCAAACAAACATACATACAAACAAACAAACATGCATACATACAGGTGAAGATCAAATCGTAAGGTGAAGTTTATGAAAATTATTTTTATTTCGTTTCAGGATGTCACCACCTCAGAGGAATCAACATCAGACCAGACATACATGACACCTTATGCAAACCAATCGTAGGAGCCGAAGGTTTTCACATCGAGGTGATATTACTTCACCCTAAATCCACTGGAGCCTTGACTCTCAACGACAGGGATCCTTTCCACCACCCGTGGATCAACCCCAATGCTCTTTGCGACGAAGACGAGGAAGACATAGAAACTTTGCTTGCCGGAATTCATAAAGCTCTCAAACTTGCCGAAAGTCCTTCGATGCATAAGCTAGGAGTCAAGCTGGTTCATCAGATGCTGCCCGAATGTGAAAATGATCATTTAGATGACGAATATTGGAGATGTGCGATACAGTAAGTATATGTAGGTAATTGTGGTATAGGTAGATTCTTCCATTCTTTTAGTACCTCGATAAAAAATATTACCATGGTAATTTTTTTATAAGAATATATTATTTTCTTCAGAACATATTCGTAAGAACACTGCAGAACATTTGGAACATTTGTGACAAATCGTACAATATCAATAGTTAACCTCAAAACTTCGTCTCAGATCAGACCTTCTTTGAAGTATTGTTCACAACTATGGAGTTCCGCCCCTAAGCATACCCTGAAGCTGCTGAATTCTATCCAGAAAAGTGTCATCGCCTGATTGGAGACACGAAAATCACTTGCAACCTTGGTAATAATGAAAATAATACTTTCACGGGAAGTATTCAAGTGACTAGGCACATTTGATTCCACCAAGAGCGATACACATCAGAAATACGCGACGAATTGGTGCTGCTCAATGTTTTGAGGTTCAACTCTTTCATTTGGAGAACTGCGTTTATGTGGAATAAACTTCCTGAGAGCGTTTTTTAAAGTGAATTTAATCTTCAGCGATTTAAATCCAACGTGAATCGCTACTTTCGCACAGGCACCGATCTTAGAGGCACCGCTCTTGAAGATTTTACTGTGGGGCTTGTGTTTTGTGGATAGAATATTCTTTGGTCGAGATGATGTGAGAAAATGAATAATAGTTTAAAAAAACTAAAAAAGCACGCTTCAATAGCAACAAAAAATAATTAGAAACTAATTTAAGATTGTGTTCAACAGCGATGAGTCCTATGGCGTGATGTAGGCTATGTTAGGTCCACAAAGTGAGTGGGCCTATTCGACCCTCCACCGCAACCCGCAAAGGTTTATTGTGGCTCACACCTATTCACACTCGACCAAATAAACCCAGCTTCTTAACGAAGCCGTTTAGTTTGTATGGTGAGTGGTTTTTCCTGTCAGATGGTAGGACTACGGCTCTACCGAACTCTAAAAACCTGAGTATGTGCTCTGCTGTTTCATCATTTTCCAAACAGAGGCGACACACACTGTCTTCCAACAGTCAGAGTCTGTGATCTGTAAGAAGGCCTGTTTATTCCTACTGTAGTCCAATAACTGTTTGGTATCAAGCTTCGAAGGGTGAATAAATGCCTTGGAGTGAGCCAATCCTGGAAGATACTACCAGAAGTCTATGGTGTTCATCCAGGTGTTCAATCTTTGTTTGAGTTCTGGTCCGATGAAGCTGCTTGCAAGACCCTCTTTTACAAGCGAGTCAAGAGCCTCACTGCCTTCCAGGCCAGTATAGTCAGGAATCCAGACCAGAGACAATCTGTTTAGTCTTCCTATCGAGGAGGTAGGTTTTTGGCAATTTGCTACCAATTTTACAAATCCTTCTACATGTCCATAGGGACAGTCTGGCTTTGTCTAAAACTTTTTCCAAGTGAGCGTTCCAGGTGAGTTCTTTTATCAAGGACAATGCCAAGATATTTCACCTCCGTTCCAATCTAACGCCACTTTCCCTCATCATTGAGGGAAAGTGGCGTTAGATCGTCCAATTTCCTTCTCTTGGTGAAGGGGATTAACACAGTTTTGCTGGGTTTGACAGACCTCCGGTCCCTCAAGCACCAACTGTGAAGAACGTCCATCGTGCTTTGGAGGATATTACACGCTACCCTCCCCGACGTAGACCTTGCCAAGATGACAAAATCATCTGCATAAGCTTGCATATCTACTTTTCTCCTGTCGAGGGCATCAAGCAGACTATCCATCAGGAGCGACCACAGAAGGGGCAGCCTTTAGGGACCCTGAACCTAATGGCCTCATTTCGAAGAGTCGTAGTTCTGTTTACCAGCATGGCATAGATCCAGCAGGTTATGGTCTATTCTATACCCTCCCTAGCCAGAGACAATCCTATAGATTTAGGTAGTGCATTGTCAAATGCTCCTTCAATATCGAGAAATACAGCAACCGCAATCTCCTTACTGTCAAGGATTGGGGGATTTTCTCTAAAAGATTGTTTAATGCCAAATCTGCTTCACTGCCAACCAAATGGGTGGTATATAGTTCCACGCCAGATTAGCTCTATAGACTTTTGATGGGCGTAATGTAACTAATGACTTTTAATAATGAAATCAGGATAAATCTATTTACACAAATATTAATTTTGTTGCAAAAATGCGTGGGATACTTTGAATTATATTTTTGTTATGGCTCCAATCTGGCAAAAAGCTCCTAACCAAGTATGTATAAAAATGGATTCAGACCCCACACTTTTTTACAACATAATTAATTTTTTTGTAAATAGATTCATTCCTTAGTTTTTTTTTATAAAGTATTATTTTTTTCCACTTTTTAGTTTGGCTTACTATTTCAAGCCCATTCAAGCTCTCACACAGAGACTGTGTGAGGAAATTATTTACTCCTGGCGAGCCTAATCAGGATAATGAGATAAACTTATGAAATTATTGTATTGTCATCGATTCTTGATGAGTCTACAAAGTTTAAAATAAATCTGTCCGTTTAGAGTAAGTCAATAACAAATTGAAAAATGTATTTTCTGGTTTCTGTCCTGAGTAGTAGTTGCTTTTTTAAAAGAAACTGATGGAAAATTAGACCACTAGCAAATTTACAAACTGGTTAATTGGTATCTAGAGATTTGTAATGGAAAGATATGGAAACCATACTAATGGAAGGATATGGAAGAATATGGTAGCTTTATATTTGTTTCAATGTGACTGGAAAATCTATAAATTGTAATATTTTATAAATATTCCGTTGTATCTTGGAGCTAGTATCAATAACACTATTTGCTCACAATAATTCATGATCAAATCGTTATCGTAACCAAGTTTAAAGTACCTCGCAACAATCTTCTTGAAAGAGTCTTCGAAAGTGTTCAATATAGTCAACTTTTATCAAAAGAGTAAACTGTCAAATATTCATTCTGTTTCAGATATTTATCAGTTACTAAAGGAAACATCATAGGAACAGCCAAAATGGCTCCCGTTACCGTCAAAGGAGGAGTAGTGGACCAAGAATTGAGAGTGTACGGTATACATAAATTGAGAGTAGCCGACGCCAGCGTTATCCCCGTCACTATTTCCGGAAGTACGATGGGGCCAGAGATCATGATAGGCGAGCACGCGGGAGATCTTATTAAAAAAGAGTGGCTAGCGTGAAGTTATATTGAACTTATAGGTGAAACTGCCAACTGAAATTACTCTATTCAGTTTAGTTCACATGTAAAGACCTGGCCATTAGTTATAATGAATTAAATTTCAATTCCGTGATGAACGTAAATTTTATGTAAATTATGTTCTTCAATCTGTAAAATCTCTCCTTCACCCTGTATACTGATTTCTTTTAATGTTCATGAAAAATATAATGCAATGAACTTCCATTCAGTAGAACCATACTTGAATGTTCGTATAGATGCAACTAATGCATTCAATAAGCCGAATCAATGTAATCGATTTGAGGATTAACAATAAATAATACTGAAAAAGTACAAGTTTTTATTCCGCAGCTCTAAAACAAGACAAAGAAACGTTTGTTTGAAGGTGATTGACAATGTTTCGTGATGAATTTCACTAGTTCGGACTTCCATTGTCCATTATATAAAATGATTTGAAATCCCTGAAACAAGTAAAAAAGAATAATTAAAAAAGAATAGTTGAAAATAACAATTATATTAAGCAACAATAAACCTGAAATGAAATGATAGT